CCGTTACTACGTGCTCAGAGTCCTCTCCCCCCCTCCCCGAATGGGTGGACACGATCCCCTTCCCTCCACACACACACACTCACACCAGGCCCCTTCCAACACACACATCAATACAAAGAGAGCTTATGACATAACCTAGCACTGTGAGGGCCTCTGCAGAATAACCACTCTAGAGTTTTCAAAATGGATGCTGTAGTGCCTCAAATGATCCTTGGGGGAGATATTCGGGTGTCACCTGGACCCAGCCTTAAATGTCAGGAAATCATAAAATGCCAGAGTTAGTTTTCAGTCCTTCTCTTTACATCAAAGAGAAAGTCTCTGTGGGAGCTAATAGGTCTTAAACACTTCTGAAGCATTTGTCATTCTCCCCCTTTAAAAAAGACAGGGAGCCTTGAGTCAGCAACAGTCAAGTGAGAATTTGAGGATGCAGTTGGATTTTCCTTGCATTCGTTGTGATGGTTTTGTTCTTTTTTCTTTTTCTTTTTTTTCTTTTTTCTTTCTTTCTTTTTTTTTTTTTTCTTTTTTTTGGCATGATACTGGTTGTCCATTTACAATTAAAATTTATTTTAATGAAAAAGTGAGTCAATCTAAAGTCAAGTCTTAACCTACTTACAACAGAGGAGGCAAGAAGGTGGTGTGCTAATAGCCAACGCTGTCACTGATGGCCAGAAGTGAGCCCAGAGGGTTGAGCCTACCTAAGAGCACCCAAAGTCAAAAGCAGCTGAGCTGCCAGCCAAGCCAAGGGCACCTACGCAGGCTTCCCAGGCCTGGTGCTTTTCATCCTTGGTTTCACTTTGGGATGCTAAGCCTGGCCAGCACTTACAGCATGGCAGGAATCCTGGGCTTGGAGGCCAGCCTGTGTTGCTATCATTTCCCAGCTGTGTGACCTGGAACAAGTCACCCCATTCCTCTAGGCCTCAGTTTCTCCATCTGTGAATGCAGATTAGAAATCTGAGGGGGCAGGCAGCGTTGGGTTCAATCACTGAGCAGGGTGATATGGTAGAAAGAAGCAGACAGCCTACATCCTCTCCGTCCCAGGGCTATGACCTTGGCGAAGTTCAAGGGGATAAAATCATGTGTGTGTTGCAGGGGGAGGGAGAGAGAAACATGGGCAGGTCAGGGTTACACTGCATAGACTTTTTATTCCCAGGATCAGAAAAATCTCATGGCTGCTAGCCAGCAATTGAGATGCAGCCCCTCGAGTGAGGGAAAATCGACGTTTTTCTCCTGCACCCAAATTGGCCTCTCCTCGGAAGTTGGCAGGATCCCAAGGGATGTAATTCCAGGCAGGAAGCTGGGGAGCCCAGAGCCGCCACAGGCCCGTGATTTTGCCTCTCTCAGGCTGCCCCACTGGCTATCTAGGCGTTTCTGACCTTGAAAGGAGTTTTGTTCTCCAGATAATGTGCTCAATGTCACCTGGGAAAATCACGCTGACTGTCCAGGTGCCCAGAAAGTTAAATGAGTCATTATAACCCGAAACCACATCCGGCCAGGCTCCAATTAGCTAGAATCCAGCTAAGAGAAGCTTGCGAGGGACTGAGTATTTTCTCCTCCAGCTCTGTATGAACTGCTAATAGCAGTCCACAGTTCTTGAGCAACTCACCAAGCCCTATGCTAAACACTTGGCAGTTTCTCATTTCATTTAAGCCTCACAGCTACTGAATAGTAAGTACTGTTATCATAGTTCCCATTTTACAGATGACAAAGTGAAAGCTAATTTTACACCTGCCAAAGTGAACGATGGACCAAGGACTTAAACCCAGGAAATTCGGTTCCCAACTCTGGGACCTAAGTCCAAAGCGATATTAAGGGGTTAGTTTAAAAGTCAAATACCCCAGTTTAAAAGTCAACCCTCCCTCCACTTGCTCCATCCAGAGAGCATGGATGGGCCTGAGGTAGCCATAGTCAGCCATGTCAGGAGGAGCACTGGGGTCTGGGAGTTTAGCAGTGGCTGCTAGTGCCTTGGTATGTCCCCACGGCCAAGTCCCTTTCTTATTTTGGCTTCCATGTCCTCATCAATCACCTGAAGGGGCT